ACACCGCCTCTCTACTTTTTCACATGTGATATCATTTCTTACTGGATTGTCATATCACTTTCTCTGCTCGTTAACTTCAGTATACTTGTCACATTTTCTGTGAAGCTTAAGTGGTGTTCCCTTCTCTGTGTGCCCGTCCTTCGTTCTTTGTGCAACAACTGTAGCATGCCTCGCACTGTGCAATGTTTGTTTGAAGTCTCATGTGACCACTAGCTTGTGAGTTCCTGACAGACAAGGACTGTGCACCACAGTCCTTCACGGAGTGCTGGGGGCATAGTAGGTGCTTCTCATTTGGTAGTTCTATTGCTGAAAGACCATGAGAAAATTTTAATCAAATCAAATAGTGTAGAAGCATAACTCCCTAAGAGAACTAGGACTGTTCCATTCTGTACAGGATTTGGTAATTAAAAAAAAAGAGATGTGTAATCAGAGACCAGATAAAGACTAATGAAAGCACATTCCCATTTCCCCGACTATTCTTTACCTTTAAGTAGATTAATCTCAATGAAAGCTATTCATTGGCTTTTGTGCAATGACAACAAACAGCTGGATGAGAAGAGATATCAACGGTCATCTGTGGGAGCCCAATACTAAATCAGAAGTGGCATATGGATTTCAATTCCTTCCATTTCTGATTTATTGGTAGGGGTTGCCTGAACACTGTGTTGATAAGAATTTCAAGACCACTCGGGTTCAGGGGAAGCATGGCATGGTTGATTAGTGATGTCTGCCTTGGGCATGGATAGGGGAATATCTGCCTACCTGCTAAACACTTCTGATCCTTATGTTAGTCCTAGGTTAGTTTTGTTTTGTGTGTTCAGATTCTGGGAAGCTATCTGCTACATGTGGAAGATCAAAATGTCGTGGCCTATAGTCCCAACCCTTCAAGAAATACTCCTGGGAAACACTCCTATCAGCCTGTCCTCTTGCTACCTCTGGTCCCAGGGCCAGTGCCTTGGTCCTGGCTTTTAAGGTCTCTGGCCCAAACCTTGGAGTTGACGCTTCATTTGGACTTTCTGATTTTAGACTTTGTCTTCGACCCTGGATAGTGTCTTTCTGATCTCCTGGTTCCTTGATCTTTGGACCTCCAATATGCTTGGGCTGAGAGTAAATTTATTCCCAAAGTCTCTGAAATTAGAAATCAAGGAAATACTTATAGGATGTCTTCTGTGGATCGGGAAGAAGGTTAGGCAGTTTTAAAAATCATGATTGGTTTCCACTGGCATTTTTCCAGCATGCCTGCTAAAAATCTAGAGTTCTAGGTCACATTCTAGCCCTATCGAACCAGTTGGGAAGGGCAGACATACAATATTTCTTAAAACAAATTCCTATGGGAATTATCATAGACACAGTTTTGAGAACCACTGAGTTAAGGACCCTGATCTGCTTCAGAGATTGCCAACAGTAGCCCTAATTCTGTAGCCCTAATTATTTAGTGGAATAATGCTTCAATGAAAACCAAATCATCCCTTTATTGAAGTGTTGTAAGCTACCCTGGTTCTGTTCTGATATGTGCAGAAGAGCGACCTATGGGTGCCATTGTAGAGGACATAGTACTTTCTTCAAGCCACTATTCTTTTTCCAGCATTTTTGTCTGACCAGGAAATGCCTCAATCCTTTTCTGTCTCCTCTCTCACCACCTTCCTATCCAAACAAACACCTATGCACAGAGGGGAAGACCTCTGAGATCCTCTGATTTCATTCCTTTTATACCAAAGTCAACTTGCCATTTGCAGAGCCAAGATACAGCTTGTCTCCCTGAACATGTATAAGAAATAATGTATTGGCTTACTTATTGGCTAAAAAGTTCTGGACGAATATAGCATCTATAGAGTTTCCCAGATTTTGGCAGGGTAGCCTGTATCCTCCCTACCTGAAGCATGCTTCTTTCCCAGCTGCATGTACAAGTCGCTGTATAGATATACCCACAAGCCAAGCCTTTGTTTTACATGGAAAACAATCCAGTCCTCTAACAGATACTGCCAGTGTATAACAATGGGATATTACCACACTTCATTAGGCCAGCTAGCTCCTACTGTGCTATTGCTCTACCATTTGCAGGGTTTCCTTGAATCATTACAGTCACTGAAGTGCAATTCCTAAAACCTGGAATCATTCTCTCATGGTTAAAGTTTATCTCTTCCATCCCTGGCCACGTGGCAAGATCCTCACTCCAGAAATCACAGGGTTAACAATGATAAAACAAGATAGCAGTAATCTGTATCCTCCTTAACAAAAGCAAAAATAAACTTCTTGGGGGTTAATGTTTTGCAGGAAAATAAGAAACATTTCTCATACTTTCTGCTGTGCTAATGAACTCAGCTGAGAAACTTCACAAAGATATCCCCGCATAATCAAAATGAATTCAATTTCCTGAAACAGTAAATAGTTATTACTGAACTCACTGCCTAATCTTTTTGTTTGTTTTCCATTACAATGGAATTCTTATACTTGAAACAGTTAAACTGTTATATCTAAACAAAAATGGAGGGGCTATGACTTTGAATGTTGCTAGCTTGGCAATAAAGCCTTTTGCTGTGATCTCTCTGTTGCATTTGGCAATCTGCCACCTTCCACAATTTAAGTTCCATGGTTTCATGCATGTACATAAAACACTTTTTAATTGATCACTCATGCTTCTCTAGCTATATGCCTGTCATTGGGGTGTGTGATTTTCATGTACCAATCCACTGTTCTCATTTGGTAATTTAGTACCTTTAATAGTGCCCATCTACCATGTAAAATATTATAAGCCATTGAGAGTCTGCAAAGAGTAACATGTGTCTTCTAAACTGAGATACGGAGCACATTGTTTGAAGACAGCTTAAGTGTTCCTGTAGTCCACTTCTACCAGCACAATGTCTTCTAGAACAACTAGAATCAGTGAATTCAATTCCTGAAAGCTTGTATTATTTTCAGGTCTTTAAATGAGTAAATTATACCCCTTTATTGAAAAGATTCACAGTCATGACTAGAAATGGCTAGAAATGACAAATGAAATGAGAGAGACATATATTGTCAAATATGCATTACAACAAGGCTCATCTATAAAACAATAGCAATTATTCCTGCCTTTTATGTTCCTCAAGAATAAATTTACAAGAAAAGAATTTAATATTCTAACCTGTTGCATGGGGAATTGTGTTTGTTTTAATAACAAAATAATTATTACCTCCATAGGTTTTGATGATGCACATCATTCCCCATAAAAAGTTCAATGATTATCAACATACCAGCATACATTTGGAGAATTTTTTTTCTTCTTCTCTCCATTGCATTTCACTACCCTAACTCATATTTTACTATTCCCTTGGCCCAGGGATAGATAGAAGCAATAAAATGAAAATCAAGTTGGTTTCACAGATAGTAAATATGAATTATGAGTTTGAAACATACTATGCTCACTGAGCATATATTTTAGAAGAACTTCCTCTAAGACATTTTATGACTAAAACCATAATCTGGAACCATTCACTTGTCCTTGGTTTTAGAATTCTATGTGGTTTCATGAAATATTCACTTATTTTTTTTTATAAAAACACAGTCCAAACAGCTTCTGAATCAAACAACTTGGGTAAAAGACATCTTTTTAGTTGGAAAACCAGCCAAATGCCATTAATTCTTTGTATGATTATACAGAGGGAGGGAGAGAGGGAGGAAAAAATCAGATTCAACTAATTCCTAGAAGCATAAATTTGTAAATTTGTAGACATTCCTGTTTCAATTCTTGTTTCCCCTGTTTAGGGCACTAAGTCCCTGAATATTTCAAAGTAACATGGAATCAGGCTGGACCCCCAGTGTCCTAACTTCTAATCAAGCTATAGCTGTACTCTCTCCTATTGAGTGTTCCACTTAGCACTCTAGGTCTCAGTTCTGGCTTTGGCAGTACCGAAATTTCAGAGCTGCCTTCATCAAGTGAAAGAAACCACAACTTATTAAGATCAACATATTAGGATTGCCCAATTTGCATATACACAAAACCATAGCCAGATGGGGTGAGTACAGAAGTCAGGTGTGTATGAATCATGTCTAGAATCAACACCTTAGCATTGCCTAACTTGCATGGATGTCAAACCTACAGCTAGACATATATTAACTGCATTAAGAATCAACACAGCCATATTAGGGCTGCCTAATTTACATATTCATAAAAACTTGTAACTATATGGGGGGAGCATGTACACTAACCATATCTAGGACTAACATATTAGGGCCCACTAATTTTGAAAACTTTGAACTTTCACAGCTTGATTACACTTGCTCTACTACATACTGTTCCTCCTCCTGCTGGAAAGTTGAGTCTCAGGTATCCACTCTGCATCACTTGACATGATTAATGTATGTCTAGCTGTAGGGAGCCTAGGGTGGAATGATAACCAAATCTCTCCTATAGTCACCCATCTGGTTTTCTTTCTTTCTTTATACACACACACATACACACATATGTGCAATTGGGCAACTCTCTCTCTCTCCCTCTCTACATATGTATATATATGTAATTGGGCAACGCTAATATACTGTAGAGCTCACATACTAGATCCAATCCACCATGACAGCCTAAACAGCCACTAAGAAGAGAGAGAGGGAGAGCTAGAAATGACCATCCTTATCTTGGAGAATAAGGCACTGTGGCCCTCTTGGCCTACCCCAAAGAAAATGTATGTAAATAGAGAGAGTGGGGAATGAATGAACAGAAGGTTTAATTTAGATAGATTAGATAATTTTATGCTGGATAATCCCATGCTACATTGAATAATTCTATAATAAATTAACTTGAAAAGGCTACCTCTGGTTGGTTTCCAGGGGAATGAATGTAGCACAGTTCACTGCTGATTTTAGACTTCTGTAGCATTGATACCTATTAACGCAGGATTTCTCTACTCTTGGGAATACCATCTGCATATAGAAAACTTCTCATTCTATACAAACAATTTGGTTTCAATATTTACAAAAATGAATACATTTTTGAAATGTGTGATGTGGTGTGCATTTTTACTTACCTTTTCCGCTGACTGAGCAGTCCCAAAAAATATTGGAATGAAGGCAAGCCATACTATACACGTTGTGTACATAGTGAATCCAATGGGCTTAGCTTCATTAAAATTCTCTGGGACACCCCGAGTCTTGATGGCATACACAGTACATGTGACCATGAGAAGAATGCTATATCCCAAGGAGCAAATGATTTGGAGATCTGTAATGTCACATTTGAGAACTCCCCTGGCCTGCTCAGGGTTCATTGTCTTATGTTCATCATAGTCTATGATGATGTTGGGTGGGTCAACACCAAACCAAATGAAAACACCTAGAAGCTGAACTGATATTAAACTGGAGGTGATTGCCAACTGTGATGTTGGGCTTATGAGTCTGGGAGCTGTCACTGATTTCTTGCCCTGTTCAAATATGCGATAAATCCGATTGGTTTTTGTCAAGAGGGCTGCATAACTGATGCACATGCCCAAGCCCAGGAAAACTCTCCGGAAAGAACACACTGCCACATCAGGTTTGGCTATCATTAGGAAAGTGATGATGTAGCAAAGAAAGATGCCCGTCAACAGAACATAGCTCAGTTCCCGCCCGGATGCCCGGACAATGGGTGTATCATTGTAGCGGATGAAAGTGGCCATGACAAAGATGGTGGCAATGATCCCCAACATTGCTAGGAAGACAGGGATGACGGCCCAGGGGGAATGCCACTCCAGTTTGATGATGGGGATATCTTGGCAGCCGGTTCGGTTTTCATTGGGCCGCTGGTCATAGGGGCAATGCTGGCATGTCATCTCATCAAACTGGTACTGGTAGCCATCGCAAGGCTCACAGGTCCAGCAGCAAGGAGTTCCCTTTTGTGTCTTCTTTCTTTGGCCGGGCTTGCATGGTAGTGTACATACTGAGGGCGGGATCTCCCGGACTCCTTTACCCCACTGCATGTCCTCTATCTGCAATATAAGAAATAAGAACGTGCAACAGGTGGATTACTCAAGAGAAAAGAAAAAGAACTATAATAACAAACAGTAATAATAGCAGTGTTGACACTTGACCAGGTTAAGTAACTTACCCCCAGCTAGTAGGAGCTACAACCAAGATTTGACTCCCCACCATTCACTGCATTATCCTTACTCTTCACCACTATAGAGTGTTCCAAACATGTCTGATTCTAAGAATTCTCTGTGGCAACTCTTGAAAACACAAATTCCCTGTTCCCACCCTAGACCTCCTAAATAAGAATATCCTGAAAAAGAGCCTTTGGATCTTTTTAACAAGTGCCCAGAGGATTCTTTTGATCAAATAAATTGAGAAACACTGACACGGTCTCTACTACCTTCTCCCAGATAATAAGCGCAAATGTCCTAAATCAAGTTAAAAACAAACAAAAATCTTAAGTATATGAAAAGCTACATTCATCTCCTCTATTAGCTGCTTTTTAAAAAATTGTTTACAAGTTATTTCGGATGATACTGCAGTACCGACCACCTTCCCTAAAATTCTGTAGGTATCACTACCATGCTCACCGAGAAATTTTGAAGCAAAAGTGACCCTTTTCTATTATTTATTACAGAGGAGCTATAAAGTTCATTACTGATGGCTTTAATTGTAGTAGGTTATATTCTAAGAGATCAGGAAGCATTTGATAAGAAAATAAGATGGTCTGAAATCCTTTGAAGATTGGCCATGTACCTATCCGGAGATGACATTTAAACTAAAACACTGTATTCTTGAGAAGGATGAAAGTGTATTTGCTTAATTAGAGTATTGGCTTTCTGGAGGGGAATTCATAATCAACAGTGTTGTGTGAAATAATGGCATTAGAAAGAAAGAATAACTTTATGATTGGGCTGAAATCTCCTTGTAGTGGACATCTCTCATCTTTGCTGGCACAGTATCTACACTTCCTCTTTCTGGGTGTCAGTTCCTCAGGTTTCTATTCTGTGTACTGTCTGTGGGATGGAACTTACACTGAAGCTCCAGGGCTTGCATACAAGACCCAGGCTTGGTCAATGAGGATATTGCAGTGGTTCTCAAGCTTGAGTGTGCATCAGAATCACTTGGAAGGCTTGTTACAACCTGGTGTGTGGGGCCCCACTCTTGGATATTCAGATTCATTGGGTCTGGGATGGGACCTGAGAATATGTAATGTATTTGTAACACAATCTCAGGTGATGTTGCTGGGGATTCTCTAGGGACCACACTTTGTCAACCACTGGTACATTCCAACCTCCTGGCCACAGAGATTGGGTCATGGATGGGATCACTATGAAATAGCATGGAATTTAATTTTGTGACTTTTCTTGAGTTTGGACAGAATAAAAATCTTTGTTTTTGTTGGATTTGCAGTTTCCAGGATGTAAGGATGCTGGTGCTCATGGCTACCAGAAGGAAGGAGTTTGTCAGAAGCCAACACAAAGGAAAGAAGAGTGGAGAGCTGAAGAGAAAGATTATTGATGAGCCTGTTTGAGCTCCTGGATATGACTAGGCCTGAAGCAGAAATTCCGTAGACTGTGCCACTATGTAAGCCAGTAAATTCTGCTATGCTGAAATACTTTGAATTGTATTTCTATTACTTGCAACCAAGAGTCCTGAAAAATATGCATACTAAATAAATAATTTCAGGATCTACAAATTGCAAAAGATGTACTCAGCAAATTAATTTACAGAATAAATTCCAATGATCAAATTTGGCTGATATTCTCCATACCTAGTTAATTGAATTTTTAATACAGTTGAACCAAAAAATAGGTTAGAAAGATATTAGAAAGTCTGATACATTTTTTTTTTTTTTAATTTCCACCAAAGCCCCAGTAGATAGTTGTATGTCACAGTTGCACAGCCTTGTAGTTGCTGTATGTGGGACGCAGCCCCAGCATGGCCGGAGAAGTGGTGCGTCAGTGGGCGCCCGGGATCCGAACCCCGGCCGCCAGCAGCGGAGCGCACGCACCTAACCGCTAAGCCACGGGGCCGGCCATGATACATTTTTATATGCATAATTTTAAGAGATAAGGGGAAAGAAAACTAATTTATTGCCCATTGAAATGTCAGTGCTGTGTTAAAACAGGATGCAATGTAGAACAGGGTGTGATACTTCCATCAAAACGCGAATGAGAACTACATTCAAAATATGAATCAAATGTGGTTGACTCTGCAAAGAAATGGCTCAGAGACTAAACTTCATAAAATATCTTAACCTTCTAATGGTTTACTTTAAACTTTAACCAGAGACCCAGGAATCTTAAGATGACTTGTGTGAACTCAATTACCTGAGCACAAAACCCAAGTCAGCACTAATAAATCTAACTAAATATAAAACATAATCATCTCTTTCTCAACATCACCATTTTTGAGGCCATAAGTCATTGGCAGCCATCCCAAAGTCACAAAATTAAGGAAATAATTTGTAATAAGAGAGAAAAAGATATGCATTAACTTTACAAATGTCAAATTTCAAGAAGTTGGAACCTAAAAAATTGCTATTATTAATACAAATGTTTCCAAACGTCAAATTAAAAGGTCTTACTCATGGTTAGTAAGAAACATTAACACAACAACCGAAAAAACTGTAAATAAATTTCATTAGCTAAACTTGAGATTGCCTGATTCCAATGCAAGTGGATACTAATATGCCACATGATTAACCTTGATCTATGGGAACAGATGTAAGGCTCATACAAATATAAAAACAAATTATCATTATATGTAATATTTTATACCAATTTCAAATGTTGCCAGCTCACTATCTTTTTTTCCCTTGGAATAAAATAAAATGCCCAGTAATGCTGAAGAGCTTTTTTCCCTCAACTTATCCAAATATATATAAGAGCTGTAACTACAAACATTACGTTGACTGATTACTTAACTTGTTTTCAATTTTCATTTAAAGTAGATCTCAACTCAATTTTATTGTATATATTAAACCAACAAAGTTGCCTCTTGCTCCAAATGAACAAAAGTCTAATTTACTTGCTTTGCCAACAAAAATCATTATTGAAAATATAATCTGTGTTCTGTGAAGATACCAACTGCCCTTTAAAAGCTCCAGTAAGAGAGAATTTTTTTCAAGTGACACACATGATTTGTGTATATCTATACCCATTGACACAAATTCATTGCCTCGTTCCATAAGAAGAAACAGTCAGCTGCAAATGCCCATGGGCACATATTTAAAAGAGAATAATAATTTAGGGCTATGAAAAATCAACAGTAATGTTAATTTACTTTGCCAGAGGGCTAATAGGAATGCAATTTCGTGTTTATTCTGAACTCTGCAACAAAACTGTATTTCAGCTAGCTGGAAAGCCAAAGTTAAGGTACAGAAAGATTAGGGAAAAGGTTAGGATGTTACCATGATATTCTTTAGAAGATATAGTTCTAAATTCCCTAATAGGGATGCATTTTCCTCCTGGACACCCAAAGTTTATGGTTATTGGATACTGGATCTGATCAGTCGCTGGCTCATGGGGAAGGGCTATTGAAATCCCAGCTCTTGGCAAGAGAATAGAACTTTATAGCTAATACCATCAATTAACACCAGGCATGGCACATAGATTATACGGATAGGTGGACCAATGTTTTAGGGAAGAGAAAAAATTATGCAGTTATGGTCAATGGAAGCAAAAATAAGCCTATAGTACAGTCTTAGGAAAGTGTTCTTCACTCTTTAAAAAGAGACACAAAGAAGGGATAAGTTGTCTCCAGTCTTTGAACTTTTTTTTTTTTTTTGATGAGGAAGATTGGCCCTGAGCTAACATCCATTGCCAATCTTCCTCTTTTTGCTTGAGGAAGACCGTCCCTGAGCTAACATCTGTGCCAATCTTCCTCTACTTTGTATATGGGATGCCACCACAGCATGGCTTGATGAGAGGTGTGTAGGTCTGTGCCCGGCATCTGAACCCACAAACCCCAGGCTGCCAAAGCAGAGCACACAAACCTAACCACTACACCACTGGGCCGGCCCCCAGTCTTTGAACTTTGATGTTTGCAAACATGATGTATGGAGCTGCAGCAGCCATTTTGCAACCATAAAGAGACAAGCCTAAGGAATGAAGGCAATTTGCTGAGGATAGCAAAAAAAAAAAAAAAAAAGATAAACAGAATTTATTTTGTCTATGGCATAATTATGTCACCAAATTAACCAACACTAATACCACTTCATCCCGGAATTTCAACCATAAAATGGTAAACTCTCCTTAATGGTTAACCAATTCATTATTGGTAGTCTACTCCTTGCAGTCAAACATCTAACATTCTTTCTTGCTTCTGCATCTATGTGTAGACCTTCTGAGTCTGTTAGACAATTAGCCAGTAATTCCATTTCTTACATGGATAGTAGGTAGCTCCAGAAGGAAAGGGAACTTTCAAATCACACATGATCAGAAACACTTATCTTTGTCTCCTGAAAATGCTCAGGTAAAGTCCTGAACTCAGAAAATCAGCTGTGACTCCATCACCACTGGCTCAGACAAAAACAGTGAAAAAGCACCTGTCAGCTAAAGTTGTCTAGCACATGTGTTTGGCAAAGAAAAAGTGGGGTCTGGCTCCAGCAGAGAGAGAGGTACTCCGCAGGGAATGTACAGACCTTATAATTACTAGAATTTTAAAATAAAATCAAATTAGTTGCTGACTTACTGCCAAATGCAGCAATCAAACAGAGAGAGAATTTTTATAAACAGTGGTGCATCCATTTTTATCTAGAAGAGATCTGTTCCTTTCTCCACACAGACATTTTCTATCTGAAAGAGAATTTTGTCACTCCAGGGATATATTCTTCGGTGAAATTCCATTTGCATATTTCCCAAGCTTTTTCTGTAAACCAAGCCGGTTGGTGCTTTGATTGCATAATTCTCTGCAATATTATTTTTACTTATTAAAACCTTAATAGAATGAGCTAATTTAAAAAGAGCTTTCTTATTAAAACGCCATTTGTTCATTAAAATACATTTGTCCT